CCCCAAAACCCCAAAACCCCAAAACCCCAAAACCCCAAAAGTGATGGCAAATATTGAAGATATTATCTCTGGCTTAAAACCCTTGATGCCCATTGGTTCTGTTCAATCAAATTCTTACTAAGCTTCTGCTTCTTACTCGCCTTTCTCTCTTTCTTTGATTTTTTAGATTTCTTTACAATATTTCTAATAAATTGGTTTTCTTTATTGTCAAAATCTTTACTGCAAATAACAGAAATTCCTGTATTAGGAGTCCTAGGATCAATACTATCATGATAATCGGTTACTGGCCTACTACTACATTTTGATTTAGCTTTTGTAGTAGGTTTGATCTTTCTAGGCTCTAAATTATGAAACAATTTGGAATACTCCTGTAGCTGTTCTGAGGAGAAGTTGCATCCTCAATCTCTGTTTTCATTGAAACATATTTCAACCGATTGATGCTCTCTTTTATTTGATCAGTTTGTGCTTCTAAGACGGAAAAATCAACTCCACGAGCCTTATTTGAATCAGTTGCAAGTCCATCTATCATTGTTTGAAATGTCTGGAGAAAAGCATTTCCAACTAATGTCACTCATTTTGAACAAGGTAACTCCTTAACGATTAATTTCTCTTTTGGAAGAGAGTTTGGATTTGCATTCTCTTCATTAAAAGCATGCTTGTAGAATAAAGTACTATTATTATTTTGCACTGAAGAAGATCTTGTTCCTGCAGATCTTCTTCCAAAATGTTCACGAGATTGTCTCTTAATCTCCTGCTTACTATACTCATCATCTAATACCAATTCGTGATGGTCTGGCTTAGAAGTTAGATAACTCTGCCCAGTTGCAGAAAACTCATACTTAGAAGCTTTTTCCCCAGCAGCTGAATAATTCTCGACACTAGTCTTAATCTCTTTAATAGCGTTCATAAACTCTTTCCTCATTGATGAAATTTCATTTCTCATCTCGTTAATGATCAGATTGTCATTCTTAATAGTTACTTTTTCAGCTTCCTCACTCACTAACTGAGCTGGTTTCTGCTTATCATTATTCTTTAATATACATTGCTTCAAAATCTTCCTTGTACTTCAAGTCTTTGGTGTCTGTCTTTGGTAGCTCTGAACTTCATGAAGCGAAGCCCTTCTAAAGATATAACAAATAAATACCTTTGTTGTTTCTTCTTCTGACGAGATTTGAAGACAAAACTTTTGTGTCTCTCATCTTTAGCACAGTTATTTCGATCTCTTGTAGAAGAAGGAAAATTTTTACTGCCTTCATTGCCGTCAAAATTATTCCTTGAAGTAAATGGAGCCAATTTATTGCTATTATAAGTCTGATCCTGATTTCTTTGAGTAAGACTTGTAACAATATTAGGTCAAGGTCCTTCTATTCTTTTCGTTCTCACACAAAGAGGAGGATCTTTAAATCTATCTTTCCTTTTACAAAAATCTATATTATTTAGGTTATAAAACATTCCTCCTAAATCTAGAACCAAAGCATGAGAGATATTATAAAACTTATTATCCACATGAACTTTCAAACAAAATTATGATCCCACCAAGAAATTCTCTTTCCTTTCTTATAACCCATTGCCACCTACCATCATTCTCTTGCCCACTACTCTGTCCAATCTCTTCTAACCTAAGCCCCTTCCGTTCCTTCTCAAGGTACTCCTTAATCTCCTTCGTGCTTGCCCTATCAAAATCTATTTGTTCTCCTTCGCAAAGTCTGTGTGAGTTAGGGTCTGGCTGTGAAGGGGGGTCTGAGGGAGGGCCTAGAGTTATGTATGGGGAAGTACAGTGAGGATCTGTTTCAGAGCTGCTTTCTTTGTAGTGGTGCAGGTTTTTGTAAGAGTTTATGTTGAGGTGTTGGTAGAATTTTAGAGGGGGGTTTGACATTTTTGTGAAGGGTTTTAAATTTGAATTTTTGGAGTGGGGTTTTGGGGTTTTGGGGTTTTGGGGTTTTGGGG